TGTACTTCTAGCAATTAAATTATCCCCTGTTGATTACTGCTTGACTTTAACTTAGGCCAGTATACTTGCTGCTTTCAGCACCACTATGGATAAGCTTCATTTATCTTTATCTCACTAAATCACATATTTGACTGGCTTTGTAATGCAGTGAAAATGAGGTAACTCTCCAGGAGTGTTTCCTGTTTGGTTGGTTGACTTGTGTTTTTTTTTTGGTGACTGTTCATCATTTATAGGTCCTGTTGTCACCTAGGAGCTATACTAATTGATACAAGATCACCAGATGTACCTCTGCTAAGTAAAGCAGTGCTTTTCTTCAAAATATCCTGCTTTTGGTCACCAGTAACATACCAAACATATTGAATGCTTTGAGTTTTGGTGTTTTGGTGTTGTTTTTTTTTCCTTTGTTTTTTTTTTTCTTTTTTTTCTTCTTATTTTTTTTTTTCCCTTCAATGTTCTAGATTTTAGGTATAGCTCTACCACACAGCGAAGAGTACCGTCATTAGACCTCAGTGGAAAGTTAGGCTCACCTTGTGCAGTGCAGTGACATGAGAAGGTTACAACTTGTGTCCCTTGAAGCACTCTAGTGTTAGCTTTTCACTCTGCTAACATTAATTCGTTTTGCATTTTCAGAACTGATGAAATTATACTGCTGCTAATTCCAGAACTACGCCCATGAACCTTGGCTTGGTGCAGTGCAGCTGTGAACAAACTTACTGCGATATAAGCTTCAGCATCTACTACAAAACTCCCTGTAAAGACCCTTCTCAAAACCACTAAAATGCCTTGATTTTGACTGGAATATACATTTATTCTCAAAAACTTCAGGTTTCAGTAAAGAAACTTGTATTTCAAATTTAAAGCTACTGCACAGATATTTATAACAAAGCAATATACTATGCATATAAATGTAAATTTTAAACACACAATTTAAATATATTTATTTTAATTGCATCTCACTCTCCCATATTTCCCTTGATTTTTCCCCAATCTAAAAAGTACTTAAACCTTCAATACTCAATTCATTTCAATAGTCATGTACAATAAAGAATGAGATACAAAACTACTGTTTCACTGGTAAAATATATTTTCTTTGGAAACAACTATAGAGCAAATACAGAAGGAGCCTTAGAGTGTTAGAATTAAATAAATGATTATGTAATATATTCTTCAAAGGAGGGTCCAATGTAGTTACAGCTGGAGAACTCTGTGCATATAAAAATGTTTTATACCAGTTTAAAAAGAAAAGAAAGATTTCAATACAAAGTCATTCTTCAGAAATGGAGAACTGCAGTGAATTAAATACCTGGACAGGTATCCAATATTTGCTCCTAGAGGGATTTCTTGTTACTGAGGCTCTGACTCCCTATCAAATGGAACTGCATACCTTTCCAGTCATTTGGACAGGGGTTAGCATGATAAAATGATTTGTTATGCCAATAAATTTTTTGTTACATTATAAAATGGTTTGTTCCGCTACTTCTGCAAAATAAAAATGTTATGAAAACTAAGTGGGCTGTAAGGTTCAAAAAGGAATGTTCTACTTTTGGGACTAGACACAATGAGAAGAAAAATAAGAAGGGCTACACATAGCCAGCCTTCTAGCAACTCTTCAATACTGTTAAAGGACATTTTAACTAACAACTGAAATTATTATCGTAATTACAAAACAGTTATGCATCTGAAATGAATGGGAACCTTCTTGGGTCAACAGAAAATAAGAGGAAAATGAAGTAAGACTGATAATCTAGGTGGTGACTTCTGTCCTGTGTGACAATAAATTAAATAAGGCTAAATTACAACTCAGAATGGAAACTGAAGTACAGACTCCTATGCTAATCACAGTGTCTCGCAGATGGGATAAGCAAGATAATAAGACTGGAGGAAAACCCTACTTTGCATATTTTAACATTGCGTATATCAGTCAAAAGCAATATCTGAACCTGGCAACTTTAATTCCCAGTCAAGTCTTATAAGTCCCTGTCTCATTTTGAAATTGCTATGTATTATGTACAGAATTTGTTTATGATTGTTCCAGGCAATAATTCACCACACAAGAAATGGACATCTTATGCTTTATGTAATGCTGCAGAAATTATTACATCTTTTTTTTGTATTTTTCTGCATTAGCATTTCATGATGGCTCAATTTTTTGAGCATGGTGCCCGTAAGATTTCAATCTTGAATGTCCAGCCTGCCTGGACTCTGTTGCCTTTCAGAATCACCTCTCAAAGGATTCTATGATCCTGCTCTCTAAATAGGCTGAAGCCTGCCCCCTAGAAATCCAAGGTAGCAGTTCTGCTAACTGCCATCCTTTCTTCAGTTAACATTAAAACAAAACAAAACAAAAACAACCTATCATTTAATGATTGCTCTGCCAAGACAGCCTCCAGCTATCACATCACCCATAAGAGCTTCTCTGTTTGCAGAAAATAGGACAAGTGGGGCATCTTCCCTAGTGGGTTGTCTCACCATCTGTCTGAGGAAGATATCTTCCACACACCACAGGAATCTCCAACACAGTTTACTCTTTGCTGTAATGTATTTCCAGCAGACTTCAGGAAAGCTGAAGGTGCCAATGAGACAATGGGCTAGTGACCATAAGACTTCCGGTTGCTTATAGAACGTTTCATTTGCTGGTCCACCCTGATTAGGATGAACAACAGCAGAATCCCATATTAATATCCACCTGCTTGCTTTTCCCCTGACGCAAAGCTTTTATCACCATGCAGCCAATGCACCCCTTACCAGACGGGGCTAGCTCAACACCTCTACTTCTCTGTCTCTCTCTACTGAAGGACCTGTAACCATCTATGACAGCACTCAGACTTCATTTAAATGAATGAATGATTCATTCCATTCAAAATATGTCATTACATTGAAAAATAAAATCTGAGAAAAATCACAGAATCACAAAATGGCCAGGGTTGGGAGGGACCTCAAGAATCATGAATCTCCAACCCCCCTGCCACATGCAGGGCCAACAACTTCCCTATTTAATACTAGACCAGGCTGCACAGGGCCCCATCCAACCTGGCCTTGAACACCTCCAGGGACAGGGCATCCACAACCTCTCTGGGCAGCCTGTTCCAGCACCTCACCACTCTCTCTGCAAAGAATTTTCCCCTGACATCCAACCTAAATCTTCCCTCCCTCAACTTAAAACCATTTCCCCTTGTCCTGCTGTTACCAACCCTTTCAAAGAGTTGACTCCCCTCTTGTTTGTAGGCTCCCTTCAGGAACTGAAAGGCTGCAATGAGGTCACCCCACAGCCTTCTTTTCTCCAGGCTGAACAAGCCCAGCTCCCTCAGCCTGTCTTCACAGGGGAGGTGCTCCAGTCCCCTGATCATCTTCGTGACTCTCCTCTGGACCCTCTCTAACACCTCTCTGTCTTTCTTGTACTGGGGGCTCCAGACCTGGACACAGTACTCCAGATGGCGCCTCACAAGAGCAGAGGGGGACAATCACCTCCCTGTCCCTGCTGGCCACTCCTCTTCTGATGGAGCCCAGGACACTATTTGCCTTTCGAGCCGCAAGGGCACACTGCTGGCTCATGATAAGTTTTTCATCTATCAAGACCCCCAGGTCCTTCTCCACAGGGCTGCTCTCAAGGGCCGCTCCTTCCAGTCTATGGATGCCTGGGATTTCTCTGGCCCAAGTGCAAAACTCTGTACTTTGCTGTGTTGAACCTCATCAGGTTCACCCAGGCCCACCTTTCTAGTCTCTCGAGGTCCCTCTGAATGGCATTCCTTTCTTCTACCGTATCAACAGCTTGGTGTCGTCAGCAAACTTGCTGAGAAAAAAAAATTCAAACTAATTTCAAACCAAATTTCAAACTAATAAATGAAATCTGCCAATCTCTCTTACTTTGCTAGTGGTGGTATTTGCAGTCAGTTAGCACAACAGCTTGAAGTACTGAATAGACTAGGAATACTAGGAATATCTGACCTTTCTTGCTGATCATTTAATGGAGCATGTCTCACCAGCAGGCCTGGATGGGAAACCATAACCTTTTCCATGCTATTCAGCAAGAACTGGTGGTCATGGTTAGGAGCACAAACCACAAGCATTTGTTTCTCAGAATAGATACAGGTATCTGAGGTGTATCAGACCTACATGCACTCACTTCTGATGGACTATTTCCTTTGTACCACTTCTAACTATGTAGAGGATGAAACAGATAACACTTCTAGGAGTTCACACAAAATTTGTGCCAGCCAAGCTTTTGAGCTTAAGCAAAACCAGGAATTTGAGGAAAGGCTGTGGCTAAGACTGGTCTTCTGCTCTCAAAGTAACTCATCCAGACCCATTACTTCCCGGCATTGCCCACAGTCCTCAGATATCTAGCAACTCGTGGCAGAGCTCAACAGCTGTGTGACAGACAGCAGACCTTCTCTAATGACTTCTATTACTTGCAATTTGACTGGCATTGCTGCTACAAGAAGTGGATCGCAAAAGCAGAGTACTGTGATAACCCAGAGACTCAGGAAAGAACAGGTAACATGGCTAAATATGAGTACTCTCATTCCTAACATTTCTCTGGCCTTTTTCAAGTGTCACATTTATATCTCACTTTGGGAGAAGCTAAGCTGTTATCAAGTAAAATATATTTACATTCAGGACAGAATAAATAATATCAGCAATTGTGAACTTCGGAAGGGTTTAGGCAAACTGATTTTGGACAAGTCTGCTCTCCTTTTCTGCACACCTGAATGAATGAGAGCTGAGAACTTCAGACAGTTTTCACCTCTCCCAGCGAAGATCAAAAAAGGAACTATCCCAATTTGTCACCTATATAGAGCCTTGGAAGATAAAAGCAAAAAGAATAGTGGTTTAATAATGTGACTATCATTCTGTAATTCAAAATATAACACAGTTCCAAATCTGTGCTGCTATTCATCAACTGCTACATTACCCTATCAAGAAAGAAGCACTCAAGAGCTGAACTCTGAATGCAAAAAGATCTCGCTGGAATCTGAGTACAAAAGGAAATAGGGACTTACAGAGAGGAGTATTTGGATAGCGCTGTGAATGACCTCTAGGTACTGGAAATCGATTATGCAGCCTGTCACAGAGACATAGGAGTAATCATCTAGGATGCCAGGAGAAGAAGGACGCACCACTCTTCGTATGCAGCCAGGCCCGTGCTCTCGCCACCAAGAACGGTGCATTGAGATATTAAAGGTCATGAGATCAGTTTCCTAGGAGACAGAGAGGGAAAAAGCATGAAATCCTCTAATTCACTATTATGTAAGATGAAGAAATTGAAATTAAAAAATGATTTCAATTATTAAAAGGAAAACAACATAACTTACTTCCCCTTCACCTCCATAATTTTAACATGAAAGTAGATTATTAGGAGGAAGAAAGGAAATTGCAAATGTTTATCATTTATTTGGTAACTGTGCATTGGAGCTCCTGTCCAGTAGAAGAATCATCATACCAAGTACAAAACGCAGTGCATATTCTATGTCTCCATAGACTTCACTGCTAAAAAAGCAATTTTATTGTCATTTAATTAAAACGTGTTTAATTCTTTGAACAGGAAGCAGAGGAAGTCCTACTCCATGGTTCTAGAAGTGGTCTAAAATAAACTTCCCACACATTTACTTAAATTAATAACTACAGAAAAATCAGGTATTATCTTAAATTGGGCAAAGGAGATTGTTCCAGCTACCAAAGATTCAAATAATAAGCTCTTCCGCAGTCAAGATGTCTGAGACTGGTAAGGAGCATCTCAAATCAACATGAGGTAATCAACAGTGCTTTGTGGACAATTTTACATTTGAAAGTACCTCTTTGGAGTATGCCTGCAAAAGAGAGGGCTCACGAGTGTTTATTGGCTGAAGACTTGGCCTGGGAGCAAATGAAACCATCTCAATACAGGATATTAGGAGATGATACCATTGTATCCTGTGAAGGCAAGATAGAGGCTGGCAGGTCCCTGCTTGAAGTTAACTAGAACCCATTTTAATACCAAAACCAACTTTCATATTTGCAATTAATGTGAAATAAGTCATACTACTACTTTAGATAATTCACATTTAGGTTTTCCCCATTTCCCCATATCACTCAATTTCGAGGTAGCTGTAATAATGCGTACAACATTGTTTGCTATAGGCCCACAGATTTCCTTATTCTCATATGTGCCAATTTGTCCACACTGCATGTGCACCAATGCCGATTCACTTGTACCTCACTCTGAAAATCTGTCCTGTAAGTTTATCTGTGACAGTTTCACATTGACAAAATGTATATTTGGTATAAATTCTTAGTTCTACCTCTGTTAACTAACTTTATTCTGGCCACATTTGAAAAGTAACCAGTGAATTACATCTTGCCAATCTCTGTAGCTGATAGGTAGCAGTAACAAGTCAGCAGATGTTTTCACTCTCCATAACTTCTTTACCCTTAAAATGAAGATTTGTAGGATCAACCATTGACAGCTGATGAAGCACTTGTCTTTTGACGTTGCGTGCTGCTCCTTGATACCAGTTTAGAACATTTTCAGCTGCACTATGAAAATGATTTACAAAATCTGAAGTTGACAGATAATTCAGTGTAATGAAAATATAATTACAAATACAGTCATAGAAAATAGCAGAGGCTTTCTCTGTACAACAATGCCAGAGATTGCACAGTGTTAACAAGCGCTTTTAGCAATTGTCAAGTGTAGAAAATGCCATTTATCAAGCAGCATGCACGTACTCATCTATTTTGGTAACTCTTTGTTGAGTGTAGAAGTGGACTGTCAGTGTGGGTTAGCCTGTATCAAATGCTGCAAGTTAACATTTCTTTAGGGTAACTGAGAATAAATTGTCAAGTCCGCGTGTCTGGAGTTTGTTCTGTTTTTTTTTGTTGTTGTTGTTGTTGTTTCCTTCCATTATTTCTTTGTGTTTTGTTTTGGTCTTTACGCTTTATTAGCTATGGCCTTGTGCTTAGTTCACAGTCAATGAAGAAGAAAAACAGCAGACTTAAAAAGGGAAACAGCTCTGCCCCCTTGCCAACACCTTTAAAAGTACTTTGGCATATAGTTGTCTTTGGCAATAATAGGTAAAATCTTTTGCTTCTGAAATACTGCTATGTTTGGTTCCTGAGAATTTTTTTTTTTTAATTGCTTAAATTTATGATCATATTTAGAAATATCTCCCTGAATTTGCTGACCATTGTATGAGCTCATTTACTAAGAAAACAGTGAACATGAGGCACATCTGCAGACTCTTTTATATTTCAAAGCTGCTGGTGCTTCAGTGAGGGAAGGAAACAGCACTGCTAAAACAAAAGTTATTTTGTCTGATTAAAAAGAGATGTCATCACAGCACTTGCAGCTGCTGTTATTATCACTATTCAGAAATTATGGAAAAAGGCCATAAGAAGAGCATTTCATAATTAGTTTTCACTCTGTGCATTATGACCCAAGTTTCCAAAACAAGTGAAAGGATAATGAAGGTCCAGCAAAGACCAGTTCCAGAAATGCAAACAAAACCATTCAGTGCATGAGTTTGACCTCTAACAAATCACTTCACAAAATGGCAGCCGTAAGCTTTTTGAGATGATAAATGCTAAGCTGCCAATCAATAAATGAAAGCCTAAAAAAGGAAAATAAAAATCACTCTCCTAACTCATTTTTTGGAGATATTTAATCTGTAAAGTGAGTTGAGTGTGCCAGGCTTTGAAAATGTAGCTTATGTCTTTATTCTCCTCCACAGAAACATATAAATTTGAAAGACTCAACACTTGATTGTAAAGGTTTTAAATACCAGCATATTTCTAAGAGTCTTTTAGTATCTGTGAATTCAGTATTTGGAAGCTCTGGATGGTGGAAGAGCTGCTGCTCAAGTGGATTATTCTCAATCATATGTTCAATAAAAGTTAAGAATTCTTAAGAAAGTACAAGCAAGTTCCTGAATTTTTTTCAGTGGATAATGTGCTGCTTTCCAGCGTTAGAGGCAATCGCTGTGGGAATCAAATGTTGTTTCTGTGTTACAATTGGATAATATTTTTTTATTTCACGATCTCCACTATCGTAGTCTTTCTATTTAACTTGGGGAAGATCTCTGACAGTTTACATATCCTCTAGACGAACCTTCCCAGGAATCACAGAATCACAGAATTGTAGGGGTTGGAAGGGACCTCCAGAGATCATCGAGTCCAACCCCCCTGCCAAAGCAGGTTCCCTACAGCAGGTCGCACAGGTAGGCATCCAGGCAGGTCTTGAACATCTCCAGAGAAGGAGACTCCACCACCTCCCTGGGCAGCCTGTTCCAGTGCTCCGTCACCTCACTGTAAAGAAGTTCTTGCGCATGTTTGTGCGGAACTTCCTATGCTGCAGTTTCCAGCCGTTTCCCCTTGTCCTGTCTCCACTCACCACTGAAAACAGTCGGGCCTCACCATTCTGCCCCCCACACTTTAGATATTTATAAACCTGGATCAGGTCCCCTCTCAGTTGTCCTTTCTCAAGGCTGAACAGACCCAGTTCACTCAGCCTTTCCTCATAGGAGAGATGCTCCAGGCCCTTCACCATCTTTGTGGCTCTCTGCTGGGCTCTTTCCAAGAGATCCCTGTCTTTTTTGTACTGTAATGGAATGCACACTCTGTATATAGGTGTATATAGTTTGTCATTGCAAGAATATCCTGCACGAGATCGAACCAGAGAACAAGTCATGGCATACCTGAGGAAGCGCCTGAAGGCCTGGCATTCCCCCCTCCCTCCTGTTGCTCTTGTTTAACAAAGACTTTGAAGAAAATCACCATATCAATATGACAAGAAGAGCACTGAGACATCTTGGAAACAACAGGACAACAAGACTGACACCAGATAACAAATAAATTAACAAGTAAATAACAAATGTAAACCTGCTGATGGCAGGACTCCCGCCATTGCAATCGCAAATAAAATCTGCTTTTTATCAGAGATACCATCCTGACAAAAATTATTTGGATATTTCCAACATCATGAAACAAACACTTATAACATGCTTATATAACATCACTTGCTGAAGTTTAAGCTGTTTATTATTAAAAGTAATAAGAAGGATATTTATTTTGTGTTTATGTACAGTGCTCACAAGAAACTAAAAATGAGAATTTAATATTATTTAATAAAAGTCACCAGACAAAGTAAGAAAATACACTAAAACTCCATTCCATTTTCTAAGACAAAAAAGTAATGCTGACTTGCGACTGTTCCTGCTTTTATGAACATGGAGAAAAGATTTACATCAAAACCTGATCGATAGCTAATAAAAGGTAATGGAGAAAAGGAGAAAACCAGTACATTTTCTTGTAAATCGCTGCTCCCTGTTAAGTTTGTAGTTAAGATGCAATGATGTTGGCACGGACAATGGACACACACATTCCATAGTAATTTATTTCAAGGAGACATTAATCTCCATGAGATGCAAGTGATGCCTTCCAGTGTTCGCAAGACCTGCTGAAATTGTAGAAGATCTCTGGTTAATAGCTGATGCTTATTCTCTAAAGATGCCCCACTGGCAACATAACATTAATTTTCTAACTACTTTTTTTTTTTTCCCTGAAACCACTGTTTCTGGTCATGGCTTGCTCTATGATGATCAGTTATGCTCCATCTTCCCTTGCTGTGCTGAATGGATTGGTTTTGAAGATCTGGACAGATAATCCTGAAGAAGTCCATTGATAAACAGGGAGATTTCTATTACTAGCTCTCACATTTTCTTGTTTGGGATTTTCAATATTGACTCAAAAAAATTGTTTTCAATTTAAACTCTTGCTTCAGTATTACACAGATGATCTTTTACTTGCTCAATGAACTAGTGGTAAGAGGTAGCTCCACTCAGTAATCTTGACACTGATGATGTGGTAGAGTGATGAACCATGCTGCTTCAGGGCAGTCTCTCTAGTTTGTTACTAGTGAAAGCATAACACAGTCAGTATATCACCCTCATCGTGAAGTGAAAAGACACAAGAAGAATATCCTTCAATTCAAGTGCATAGACCCTACTGGGACTACTCAGCTCTCTAAATGAACTGATATCCTGGACCAAGTGTGCATATCACCCAATACACTTCAAATTAGAGGTATGGTGTGATGCACGTAAACCCATTACCCTTAAAAGTTTCCAGTGTCAAGATCTTCAGATAAAACATGAGGAAATCCCAGCATCATGGGCAAAGAATGGATAAGAGACATTAAGAAGCTCAGTCACTCTTTGTGGAGAGT